GCAGCCGAAGGGCAGCCGGAGGGCAGCGAGCAGCCGAAGGGCAGCCGGAGGGCAGGGAGCGGAGATCATGACATTCTGTCCCTTTTAGAGTGTTTAGAGTTTAGAAACATTGTTTAGAATATTTCAAGAGTGGGAAGGGTTTAAAATGTCTTTATATATAAATACTAAAACTACTTGTACTACTGTAACGTACTTCGCAGGTTTTCACTTATCGCGGATAAGTACAATACGGCTCCCCGTGATAAACGAGGGACTACTGTACTTTGTTGTTTTTAAGAAGTGCATTGTTTTTTTAAAGGGGTCTACACATAAACAAGCAGCCGGTACCGTCCACCGGGTCTGCGCTGTCAGAACAGCTGTTCCACTCCAGGTGAACGAGCATCGTCTGGACCAGGACTGCTGCATGCACAGCTTCAGACAACAGACGGTTTCCTCCATAACTCGTCTCCATCAAGCCCTGCAGAACCATGGAACAGAACCTGTGGTACCACTCATTCAACCTCATTTCTACAGGTTCGTCCCTTTGAGCCTCGAGGACTCCTTTAAAGAGAAACCTCGTTTAACAAAGTGATGACAACAGCGACACCATTATAAAAAGGCATACAGATTATTATTATTTTTTTTAACAAATTAAAATAAGATGCAAGAAAGTAACAAAAACAGCTAGATTCTAAGGTGAATGTAGAAACTAAAACCAGGAACATGTCTGCATTGGTCCCTGCCAGGAGTCCAACAGATTCTTAAAGACACTTAGAGAGGTCAAAGGTCAAGAGCTTCAGATGTTTTTACAAGATGTTCCAGGAAACAGGAGCGGAGTAGGAGAAGGTCCTTTTGTCTAGTTCAGTCCTCACTGAGGGAACACTGCAGGTAATGATGTCCTGAGAGCGCACGCTGTAGCTGCACTCACACAGAGACATGTAGGAGGAGATGTATGAAGGCAGCAGACCAGGAAGTGATTTAAAGATGAAAATGTACCAGTGGGAGAGTCTGTGAAGTTAATGGTGACCAGTTAACCAGTGGATACTGGGTGCAGTGGTGGGTACGATAACCATCAGAACCTCCTGCTGACCACGGCTCAAGTCCTTTGATTTCGAGTTTTCACACACAGACAGTGGACTCAGTCTCTCAGGGAGTGAGACACAAGTGCCTTGTTGTCATGGTGACCATAATGCCAGTTTTAGCTTCGACCATCTTCACCCTTCCAGCTGTTGTAGAATTATTTTTTTATGTTCCATATTTGTGATGCAGCAGCCCTTCGACGTGTTTTCTTCAATTTATTTTTTTTAATCAACTAAATAATTTATTTTTTGTTTTGTTTTCTGAATGTTTCTCAGCTGACCCGGCCCGGTTCGGCTCGGTTGAGTTCCGGCTCCGGCGGCCCACAGCGCCCCCTGCAGGCGGCCTGTGACGTCACGGGGCCGTTTCCCGGGATTGCTGCGGGAGTGGGAGGCTGCTGGTCGGGAAGAGAGGACCAGGCTGCCGGAGCGGAGAGAACCGGCGGAGTTTGTTCGTTTCTTTTTCTGAATTTAAGCAGAGACAGACATTTGTATTTTTATAAACCATCTCACGACTTCCAGGAGCTTCCTCTCACAGACGGAGCAGGTAAGAACCGGTGTCCACACCGGGAGAACGACACGGGGCTGTTAGCTAGCTGAGCCGGCTGTGAGCGGACCAGCTCCGGGCCGAACGTTAGCTCGGTTGTGGTTCTGCTCGTCAGCTCAATGAGCGGAGGCTGCGGAGGCTTTTTAGTTGTAAACACGTGTGTGGAAAACGTGACTCGTGGAGCTGTGTTGCTGTTCGGAGCTGTCGCCAGACTCCGTTCAAAAACCGTTCGATTTAAAGTTGAAGCTTGAGAGCAGAGCTGGCTCATTCCAGGAGGTTGGAAGGAGGACGGAACCGGCCGGGGTGATGGTCCAGACCTGCCCCGAACCGTACCAAGGAGGCTGGTCCTGCAGAACCTGAGTTCTGCTGCGGCCTGCAGACCTGCTGGTTCTGTTCAGGATGACAAAGTGTGGATGGCGCTGCTTATATAAGAGCTCTGCTCAATGTCCAGCTGCACGGCTTCAGCTGCTCTCTGAGCTCCAGCACGGCTTCAGCTGCTCTCAGAGCTCCAGCACGGCTTCAGCTGCTCTCAGGGCTCCAGCACGGCTTCAGCTGCTCTCTGAGCTCCAGCACGGCTTCAGCTGCTCTCTGAGCTCCAGCACAGCTTCAGCTGCTCTCTGAGCTCCAGCACGGCTTCAGCTGCACAGCTTCGGCTGCTTGTTCTCACACTTGGTGCTTCCTCCTGGGTGGAGGCCTCTTTTGGTCTTTGGTCCCAGCTCCTTCCTCTTCGGTTCATGGCCTCCTGGACCTGGAAACCTGTCAGAACCTCCTCAGACCCTGAACCTGCAGGACAGAGGGTCCTGGGCTCAGAACAGGAAGCTGTCCTTCCTGAGGGGGGTCAGGAACCTGGTTGGTTCTGTTGGGTCATGTAAGCACAGAACCTGCTGGAAGAATCCGTGCAGCTCGTTAAGTTTTAACGCTTCCTTTAAAAACTCGTTTGAGACTTTTTTTATTTGAAGCGGCAGAAAAGAGCAGAACTTTTGATCAAACCTGAACGTTGAAGAAATGAAGACTGGAGCCTCAGAACCAGTTAAAACGAGCGCAGAACCTCAGACTCCTAAATCACAACAACCAGACCAAATATAAACCAGAGAGGGTTCTGGCTGTGAGGCAGGAGAACAAAGAACTTTGAAACCAGGTTCTTGTGGTTATTTTGTCCCCACGTTTCATGTTCAGGTTGAGTTCTGGTTCTGAGATCTGGTTCTGGTTCTGAGATCTGCTCCATCAGCGCTCAGTTCTGATGCTCTTCTCTACACTTTCAGTTCTCAGGCTCCTCTCTTGTGGAACCAACTTCCAGTTCCTGTCCATGAGGCTGACACATTGTCCAGTTTAAGACTGGGATTAAGACTTTCGTGTTTGATAAATCCTATAGTTAGGGTCGGCTTGTTCTGCTGCTATAGACTTAGACTACTAGAGGACAAACTGACCACATGTTCTTAAATTAATTGTTAAAATTGAATAGTTTTCATTTGATACTATTTCTATCTTAACATGTGATTCTTGACCTGCCATTGTGTATCTATTCCTACCAAACCCAGCCGGTCGAAGCAGATGGTCCTCTTGTCCTGATCCTGGTTCTGCTAAAGGTTTCTTCCTCATGAGGGAGTTTTTCTTTCCACTGTCGCCTTCATGCTTGTTCAAGATGAGAGTTCTGTGATGGAGTTAAACTCAAAGCTGCTCCTCAGATAAATAATGTTCAATTATTATTTTATATATTAACGTTTCTGTTAAATTATTATTTTATACATGAATGTTTCTGTTAATTATTATTTTATATTTGAATGTTTCTGATCAATTATTATTTTATAGATGAATGTTTCTGATCAGTCCCTGAGATGATTCTGTTGTGACTTGGAGTTTTAGAAATAAACAGATTTTTACATGTTTATCGGATCAGAACCAGTTGGGTCTGATGGACAAGACGTGAGAAAACTTTTTAGATTTAAGAGTTTCAGTTTGTTTCCTTAGCAAATGTTCTGATTCTTCCCCAGGCCCGGTTTGTGTCTCTTCAGGTCCGGTTTGTGTCTCTTCAGGT